CTATTGACTATTGTAGTCCTCTAAACATATTTGCACCCTCAAGGATCAAAATTTAATTTCTTTCTGAATTGACTTTCTTAGCGTTTTCAGTGACTAACTCTCCTGAAAGAGAATGAAAACGGAGGCCTGCGTAAATAAGTGTTACAAGCTACTTCTATCTTTTAGAATTAAAGTTTCCTTGTTTCAGCCATTTTGCCAAGTTTGTACAAATTATACACCAATTGATGCTACATTTGAGCTACGTCCTGTGCGCCATAAATGTGCATATTCAAGTGAATAGGCTAAAGATTTGGAATAGAGGCACTAATGAGTGTAACTCAATATTGAATGCACCTCATTTGTCATCCTTTTCATGCCTTTTGTATTCTCAAGAAATGTCATATTAATGGGTTTCAATTAAATGAATGACAGTGAATGTTTGATAGACGATGATGTTATCAGGTTCTTCATTCAAAATCAACCTCATTTTTGCTACTTATCCATGTCTTAAGCTTTTTTATGATAATTTATTGAGTAATATACCATCCGCCTAATTTTGAGATTTGCCGAATTAGAAGTAGCAGTTTTTTGCATTGCCGCATGTACGAGGTGAGATTCAGGCCTTTGGACTTGAAGTTTCTGCCTTTCAGCTATGTCAATTTGAACAAATTAGTTTTTTTTACATTTTTAAAACTATCGAAACCATCAAGTGACCAACTAGAGGATACATGAAGTAATTGTTTAAAAGAAAAATTGGGATAATTAATCGATCTAGCCCCAAATATAGTGGGGAAATTCACTAAGATTGAGATCCAAATATTAATATATCTATTTTATCTCTTCTAGTGATACATGAAAATTCTACCACCTATATACTTAAAAGATGAAGTCCATAGAAGAAGAATTTGCGTTTGTTTAAATAATGAATAGTAAATTTGAAAGAACAGGACGTCTAATAAAATTTAGGCCGAAATATGCCCGATCATTATTTCTGTTCTTAAGAAAACTTTAATCTCTTATGCACTCCCGAAACTTCAATGCATTTTGATTTTAAAGGTATCGATATCACTACCTTGCAAAACCTCAAAACAAAAGAAACATACGACAGTTGACAAAGGTAGTGGGAACGAATCCCGATATAACGAAATTAAGGACCATAAAATTAGGTCCATGCCAATGCAATTGTTTGAGTTCGCTTTCGAAACGTACACTCCTTTATTCGCGATTAAGTCGACTTCCAGTAATTTCACTGGGATTCTTGTGAAGATCACTGTTTTATAATTATGTTTTTCAAAAGAAACATAAATTTATGGTTGGGGACTTCAACTTTCGACGTTTATAAGAAAAATCACTGTTGGAATTTATTTAATTAAGAAATGTTTCGTTTTTTTTGACTTTGGTCATACCCTTTGTATTTCGCTATTACACATCGGTTTAATGACAGTAGTAAATAACAGTTGAAACCATATTTAATGCTATGGCATTCCGTCCCTAAGAAAAACGCTCAGGAGAGGACAGAAAGTGCCCTAAATTGGGCACTCAAACTACTAGCAAACTGGTGCGACAACAATGGAATGGTAACCAACACTGCAAAAAGAGCTTTCCAAACGTTTTCTTTGGCCCATCACAGCATTAACCCGCTTCTAAGGTACAAGGATACTACCATAGAAAAAACCAATGAGTTCACATTTCTCGGAATGACGTTTGACACAAAGCTAACGTGGAAAAGTCACATTGCTAAAATAGCAGAACGAGTCTCCAATAGACTGAATGTCCTGAAGCGTCTTGCTGGTAACGTATGGGGCTGTGCACGCTCAACTCTCAACAACACTTACAAGATGTTTATTCAGCCAATAATATTGTATTTCTGTGAGCCACTCATTACAGCCACAGAGGTGACTCTCAAACCACTCGAGAAGGCACAAAACCAAGCATTACGACTGATTACTGGAGGGATAAAATCAACACCCATTGATGCAATGCTCCTAGTTACAGGGAGCACCACAATATGTTCCCTTATCAAAGAAAAGGCCTTGATCCTGTATGAGAAGCTACTGCGCATTCCCATGGACAAGTTCATCAGCACCTAGGAGAATAGACCAAGACGTCTGAAAACGCAATCTGGTCTAATACCGAAAGCCATAGAACTGAAGAAAGAATTACAAATCAATGACAAACCCAAAAGCCTCTATCCCCCCATGAACCCATTAGCAGACACTGATGTAGTGTGTTGCACCCAACCGCTTGACTTCTTCAGGAAATCAAACACCCCTCCAGAGTAAATGCGCTCACTGGCCCTTGAGACAATCAATGTCAACTATCCTGGAGATCAATGGCTCCAAGTCTTCACTGATGGGTCATACATAGAAAACCAAACAAACATTGACGCAGGTCTATTCTGAACTCTTCTCTTTCTACGCAGCAGTGGAACATAATATATCCGCTTTTGNAGAAGAAATAGATTCTATTAGGATAGCACTATGCCAATTATGTTGCCTGGGTACGAAATTCACCAAACCGGTGATACTTTCGGACTCACAGTCAGCAATAAACTCTATTGGAAACAGAGAGCCACCCAAAACAGCTGAGATAAAGGAATGTAGAAAACTCTATGAGCTGCTGAGAGAGAAAAACAAAACAGTCGTCCTACAATGGATTCATGGTCATTGTGGCATTAAAGGCAATGAGCTTGCTGACACACTTGCTAAGAAAGGGACAACGATTTTGCAATGCATGGACCGACCGATGTCTTTCCACACAATGAAGGCCTTAATCAGAAGAGAATTCCATACCTCAAGGTGCAACGAAATTAAAGCTCGAACAAAGGAGAAACAGTGGATAGTGGCACTCTCCGACATAGCCGACTGGCCAAGAACCGTAGCCGTTGCTGAGTTTAGACTACGTACCGGACACGATTGCTTGGCAAAACACCTTCACAGATTGGGAGTATACACTCAACCCACATGCCCCCTATGTAACCTACATGAGGAAATGGAGAAGACCCACCTGATTCGGTGTCCAACCCTAAAGACAAGGACGGAAAGCCAGAGATACTGGGAAGCAAGAAGACGGCTTAGGAACTGCTATTAATTAACTGCTATAAATGTATCCCCCCCTCTCCTGGGGGAAGCTGAAGTCAGAGATTAAGGGCTGCCATTTGAAACAAAATAAATAAATAAATAAATAAATATATATATATATATTTAATGCTCACTCCAGTCGGATCAACAAATCGTAAACTTTGCTCTAAATTGACTGGTTCGAAACCAACAGTAGTTCCAGTCTTGTTACTTGAACTCTGCGGTGGTCTTGTGGATGAAACATGTAGCTGAACACCTGTATATGACTTTTATTCTTTCATCATTTCTCTTTTTATTCCTTGAATTTTATGTACCCTAAAATCGTATAATCATTTTATAAGACAAGCATTTTTATAATCTTCGATTACTTCCATCTTGATTTTTTTAATCTAAGGCTATGCCTGTTGTTACCAGGCCTTCTTAAGCCTTATCTGCAAAGGTGTCAAAAAGAATTGAGCTCTCAACTCGTATTAAACTAATTATTTAAATATGGCTTGTGCAATTAAAATTAAAACCACACTATGATGCTTCAAGTACACTAATAGGAAAATTATTTCTTGGAAGGTAATGTTTCACAAGGAATCACTTCAGTGCTGGAACATTCTGAAACGTGTGGAAGAGCGTTGCTGATTGCACTGGGAAGCAAATACGGTCATGAATACATACACCTCTTAGCCTATTAATAATCAATAGACATGGTATGACTAGGCTTCGTGTCAGTTACACAAGCCAAAAAACGTGTTCCACGTCATACATCTGTTTCCTCTATATCATTAAGGTGGGCTAGCTAATCCTGCTAGTCATTCCGAACTTGGAGACCATGCTATAAAGATTCGTGAACATAAGTCAAGGCCTTTTAGTGTCCCAATTCGTTAGAGTAACACATAATGGAATTTTTCAAAAATGCACTCAAGATTTTTATGTCCGTTGATTAAAAGTACGATTCGTTGCCAAGTTCTGAATGGACAACTTGTAAAGATGATTCTGTGTCTTCAGAATGAGTAGAAAGGGCCACTTTTAAGCGCCGAAATATTAATACTGCTATTCATAAATGTATGTAAGACATAGTTAATATCTGTCAGTTAAAATACAACATTTTATCAAATTGTGGAGATTTGAGATTTTGTCCATAATTTCTATTATCTGTATAGATTTATGTAATCATCGCTTTCTTGAATATAAACACAGAACATGTAATATTGATATTACTACACCTCTTAAATCGACATTTACATATGTAATTAAAATTTGACTAATTATTTAAGTGCGTATGCCAGTCTAGCAAAATCGTAAATTTAGATTATCTGTACTAAATTATACTAGCCATCAATATTTTCCCTTATTACTCATTTTACTATTCAGCTTTAATGTTGTTATTGAAGTATAACGAGGTATAGTTATTAAAACTTTTGATCATAGGAAAACCGAGTTCTGTTTTACTATAATAATATTGCAATTGTGAAACCTGTTAAGGTGGAGGGTTACTAATGTAACTATAATGTTACGAATGAAGCGGTCTATGCTGGACAATTTGATACTTGTTTAATTCCCTGAGTTTGATATTTAAAATTATACCGATTACACTTTAATCTACTTCAAATTTAGAAAATAAACTTATGTCGAAAAATATATTTTCTGACATAATCTTAGGTATTTGGCAGAACTATTAACTACATATTTAGAACAAGTTATTTTAATTCACTTCAACCTTGAATCCTTGACCGGATTTTATTTTCTCTGCCGTTAATTATGTGAGGCGATTAATTCATTGTACCTGAAATTTCGCAATTATACCTTAGTTTATGGGACATTGTTTGAGTATTATGCATAGATTTTTTAATTTTCCTTCTATTTATCACCTTATCTTTTGAGTGTTTTCTACTTGTTGCTTTTTTTGTTTTTTCTTGCTTAGCTACGGTTATTGTGTAAAACTAGCCGGCAATGTCTGTTGATACCCCAACACTACGTCGAAGGCCTCCTCCTCGTCCACCGAAATCCCAATACCTTCTTGATAAGGAGGCAGAAATACGTTTGAGTAAACAGGTTACCCAACGTCCACCCTCTACTGCTTACCCAAAAGGGAGAAATCCCTTTGGTGAAAGCTCTGATGAGGAAGATTCAACTAATAATCATATCCCTCCTCAGCGTTCCTCAGTTCCGAAAAATTTGAATCCGTTTGATGACCTTGTTTCCGATACCGAACAAGAAATTAACCCTACTGAGTCCGTTATAGTTCCTGAATTTCGACGAAATTCTGAAAGTAAAGAACCTCACGATAATGGACCTGTTGATGGTGAACCGAATGTGAATACATCGATTGAAAACACCACTTCCTCACCTATTGGAGCTATAATTCGAGAAGCTGAACCTTTACCTCCCCCAAACCCTTTTGATGGCTTTTCCGACGAAGAAGTAGTAGAAAAGGTTAAGGCCATTAATATTTCAACACCTCAGATTCATTGCAAACGTCCCGCTCCAAAGCCCCCAGTATTTGGGTCTTCTAATGGCCTTTCAAGTGATCAGTCGATGCGTCTCTCCCTTCAATCTATGAATGAGGCATCAGCTTCCCCTCTTCCGATCCAAAAATCTCTCTCCGCATCAAGTGAAAGTGTCCAAAGATCCAAAGGACCAGCCCCACCGCTACCTGTTGGACAAAAGAGAGAAATTCGTGCTGAAGGTTTCGTAAAGTACCACAGATTGAGGCGAGAGATTGAGGATGCGAACGGGAAGCTGCTACAAATTGACGAAGAAATCACTGCTCTGAATGAGAAAATTGAACAAAGTGAGTCACCTTAGTCCTAATATTTTGTAGACGTTTTTGCGAAATAAGTTAGTAACATGTTTGAGATCTCGCTGATAGAAAAACTTTGAAATGTGGTATTTAGGCTCTTCCACTAATGCTTTATCCTCACAGGTCTAAAGGCTAGCATTGAGCCGAAATTTATCTACCAATCACCCTAATTATTTACGTAATTTTATGTTTTGACGTATCGTAAAAATCATCGTGGTATTTTCGAAAATACATTAACTATATTCTGTGAATGTTCATGTTTACAATCCCATGTTTTTAACTAGGTATTCGATAGAACTTATGGCAATTATTTAAGGTTTTAAATCTTTTATTTTCGGTGCTTTTAATATTTTTATCCATTTTTTCTTTGTTATGTTTATCTTATTTCAATTATCTTTGTTACTAAATTGGAGTATTTGCGTGGCAAGCAGCTTAAAATTCACCGACTTGGTCATTTGCTATGCCTTTTAACCTAATTTTTTCTGCATAGTGTTTTTTTCTGTTGATAAAGTTAAAAGACGCTTATGAAAAAGATTCGAAGTGGTGGTCTTTATAACGCTCTCGTTTATATTTATGTGTTATCGTTCTTTCTGTTGGATATCTCACTTAAAACTGTTCACGCGTCGCTCGGTTTAGCAGGCATCCATTAAAAATATTCATAGAAATGGTCATTCGCCTCTTATCGACTTTTTTGAGGTCTCAATGAACTAAAAATCGACCATGTATCAACAAACTCACTTTCTCATAGTTCGAAAATATTGTCTATGCCAATTCGAAAATATGCCTGTGTTATTTCATGTTTTTTTCCCATTATTACTTAGAATAGCGCCTTTTTTTAAATTGTCTATGTGCATTAAAATGAACTGCGTTATACTGTACTGTACTGTTCCAGTTGCATTACAATAAGCTTTCACTTTAGCAACGAGTAACCGTATTTTCTTTCTCCGCATTAGAGTTATCGGCTGGTAGATTGTGGAATTTGTGTACGTATTTAACATTTTTTTACAGAGTTTGATATTGTGCATTTTGCCATTACTATACTGGGTTTAGTCTCTTTTTCATCCTTACAATAATTCGAATTTTTGATCATCGATTCCCCGATAACTGAAATATTATCAACCAATTTGATTCATTGCAGATGCTTCTAAGTGTTTGTAGTACCATATATTATGCTATAGTATGTGTAAGCTTTCTTTTTTAGCCAAGGATGATGTGGCGAAGAGCAAGAAGTTCTCCAAGAAGATGGCCAAGCTTGTGGAGAAACGGAAAGATGTCTCCGTTAAACATAATCAACTTGTCAATCGGTTCGTCCACATTTTTTTTGAAATATTTTTCCTTTTAATGTGTGATTATTTTCAGGGAAGAAGTGCTGTTTGGACGGTGGTTTAAGCTAATATTCATGGCACTTGGTGAACCTATCGATCTAGATGCGTTATATCTCCATTTTTCGTGTGAATTTCTAAATGTCTAGATTTTATTGGCTAGTGAGTGATTGATCATATCATCTTAGCAAATTTACCTCTTAATATAGCAAATAGTGTTCAAGTGGGTGTTAACAAAGTATTGTTTTTTTCCAATTCAAAGCTTACTAGAGCTATGCTAATGTTGTCGTTTATCAAATGATTTCAAAACCGTTCCACTTGGTTTTGTGTTTACGATTAGGATGTTGGTGCACGGGCACTCCCATATATTTTTGACGTCAAAACAACAAAGATGATTCAGCCATTTAACGGTAATATTCAGGTGAGCCAATTATTCCCGTATCGCAGCAGATGAGGAATAGACTGGCTCAACCTTCCCAAACCAGTAACTTGGGTGTAGCGAATGTATTCTTGAGTAGCTTTGATGGATAAATCGTTATTCAAATTCCTTTGTTGGCAAAAATTAACATCTACACTTAGCCATCCGCATCGCTGCAAGTGTTCATTGATCTCGTGTTCTCTGAAGTGGCAATGGTCTCCGTTGACCACTATGCCATCGATGCATAATATACGCATTCACTTAACAGCCAAAGAAATTTTACATCTTTTGATTAGTGATTAAGATGTCTGTGAAAACTTACTTATTTGACCTTTTAAAGCTAAGATTTTTTCCCAATTCATTTGGTTCACTCTTTTATTATCATGGCTGCATCGCAGACCTAGCTAAATTGAATAAATCGATTCTCTACCAAGTATTTAGTTTAATAAATTCGTGTCCAATGGTACTCGTGCTGAACATGCTATCTCCACACTTGTTGACCAGAATTAATCAATGCACCTAAACCTCTACATCTGAAAAATTGCTTCTAACTTTAAGATCTTCATAAATCGTTGTCATACAAGACAGTATATACCGATTAAATGCTGCAAATAATTTAGGCAAAAGAAGATTATCACGAAAAGCCCATCTACTCACCTATTCGCCTCATTGGATATGTACCGCTAGCATCGGTTATTTCAATTCGCTCAATCTTCGCTTATGCCAATGTAGTAACTTTTCTCCATTCTTTGTTGTCCAGTTTGATTATAACTCTTTTCAAACAATTATAGAAAACTCATGAATGGGTGCCCTTTTTGCTTATTTTACCATTTTTTCTACAACCACTGCCTAAATAGTTAGACCCTTCAGTTAGGGATCACGTTGGTAATTTATTTTCAAATCACTTCTGGTCTTTTCAAATGATGTCTAAAGTCGAGTAATTAAGTGACGCACGCTTGTAGTCCTAAAGGGCACTTCTAAACATCCTGCTAATAGTTACAAGGAAATACGATCCTATAGACGCTGGATATCTGACCTCGATCATTGGCCAAATATCTCTCATTTCTTAACAGTGAAGTAGAGAAGCAGAAAGTGGAAGAAACTCCCTTGTTTTGAGATTTGAAAGTGCTTAATCGTTCATCTAGCTAGACATACTTAACTGCACTGCCAATCTCTCGAATCTCCCTGTACTTTTATTCTTTTTAGTTTTTTGCGCAATCAAAATGGGATATTCTTATTCAAATAATAGAGTGCGGTAGAGTATAGAGAATTTATTTTCCCTGACTTTGTCAATTCTGGTTAGTT